ACTCTTTCCTAAGTGAGGCTGTCTCAGCTTAGCCAGTGGCAAAACCAGTAGGAATTCTGTGTAGAGGAATAAGATACTGTGGTTGTATGGACAAGGATTGGGTTAGCAGTGATAGAAGTAGTATAAGGGTATAGTTCCACAACAGATTAAGTAATTAAAATAGTCAAATGTAGAGCAAGTAAAGCACTTGTGCTGGCAGATAAACTCCTGCCCCCCATCTGCAGAATTGTGGTGACTTGAATACTACTTCAACTTGTGCCTTTTCATGCTGAGGCTTGCTTAGTAAAATTTGGTGGTATCAAAATGCTTAACCTTCTGTCTTTTTCTGAGAATTTAATTTGTGGAAATTATTGTGTAATTACATCCGTATCATGTATCTTAACTATTTTTAGGTTCTTAAAGTGGTTGCCTCTCTTCATGACTTAAATTCCTTTAAAATAACAGCCCCTAAGTCAATGCAATGCTCATACAGCTTCAAAGCATGACAACAGAATTGATAACAGATACCTTACCATCAGCTGACTCTACACTCTTTTTCTATCTATTCTCTTGGGGAAACAAACATCTGTTATTAGTCTACCCTGAACAACTCAGTTCAGGTACCTCTACCTTTAAAGTACCATTTGTGATCTGTCAGTAAGATATCAGCCTGCTGATAAAAGATCTCTTGCGTGACCTAAAGGGCCATTGCAGCGAACTTACTCTTTGGAGTAGGGCTAACATGAGTGTGGTGAATTATATTCCTGGAGTAACTGAACTATTTTATCCAAGTCATTTGCTCTTAATTTCAACTGTGAACTAAAATCTGCTGAACAAGAGCCATGCATAGCTATCTGAAGAATATTTTGTCCATTTATGTTGCTCTAAACAGTTAATAATGGAAATGTTAGTTTCACAATGCCTGAGCCAGTAGTACATCAAGTAAAAATAAACTTACCTCTGTTCTTTTTGCAGGTAAAAAACTGGGTTAAAGAATTAAGAAAAATGTTGGGAAATGAAATCTGTTTATGTATAGTAGGTAGGTGTTTTTTAACACAATTCTAATGACTGAAACAAATTATTATTTTTATTAGTAGCATCTTCCAAACATTGTTTTGACAGCTTGTACATGTGAAAGGGTAAAGCTTATGTTAATTGGATATTTGAAACTCGATTGGAGCTAGAAGTTTCTGTAGATCACATTGAGGAAAATAAGAATTAGTTTTGAAAAGCAGGCTATTTAATGATATACCATGTCAGAAGTGCATGGTACAGACACCTGCAGACTGTAGTTTAACAACAAGAAACATAAGCCTCAAATGTGTATTATCCTTCTTCCAAGTACTCAAATGTCATTTTTTCATTTCTCAGTGGCGTAGACTGGATTCTTGTCTGTTTTCATAATTAAATGCCTGGGGGGATGGAATGAGTCTTAAAGCTTGGATATTTCAGTGCAAGCAGAATGCAACAGAAAATTTTAAATTTGATCTAGTGATTAAAACACTTCCAGGGGGCTGGATGTGTGGGTATTCTACAAAAACTACCTTTGCAGCGCAGGTAAGATGCCGAAAAAATTACAAAAGAAAAGCAGAAGGCTGAAGGGGTGGCTTATATGGAGGTATTTAGCTATCCTGAATCTCTCTACAGAAGTAGAACTTCATTGCCTGTAAATGCTTGAGTGAGAGGGGATTCTTAAATGGTATTGTGCTCCAAATTGAGACCAGTGTAGGAGTCGGTCATTACTGGGACAGCTTGTAAGAAAATGATGGGGTACAGTGACTACATGACTGCTTTCTTTTGGGTGATTTTGGAGTAGAAAGACTTGAAAGATTAACTTGTTTCCAACAGGTAACAAAATAGACTTGGAAAAAGAGCGACACGTTTCAGTGCAAGAAGCAGAAACGTAAGTCACACCAACTGTTAATGGAAACAGTCATTGCAGAATTATGCTGGAATAATAAACTTGTGATGCTGTTCACTGGCAGGCGTAAGCCAACAATGCCTAGCTGGCTGCTGTGTTAAGTATTTTGTTAGTATCAGAGTCCTCGAATGTCCTTACTGACCAAAGTGTGACTCGAGTTGTACATGATTAAAGTCAACATTTGCCGTTTAAATGCATTTCTAGCCTTTAAATTTTCTCTATTTTATCTATTTTTCATGAATTATGGCAATTTTAAGCACATAATTTCCTTTTTACATTAAATCAGTGTGTGTAGATTAACTCTGAATAAAACGTCGTATGATCATCTTTTTGCTTCATGTAAAGTGGCTTAGAAGGATTGAGTGTTTCAGTACAGTGAAGTTCTGTATCTGCATTCCTACAGGTATGCTGAATCTGTTGGAGCAAAACACTATCACACTTCAGCTAAACAGAACAAAGGAATCGAAGAACTGTTTCTTGACCTTTGTAAAAGTAGGTATTATCTAGTTTGGTAAAGAGTTCATTCACAAAATGCTCAATGTTTCAGAATGCTTAATACCATATAGAAAAGCCTCAATGTAAACTGTTGCTAAGATCTGACTTTATCTGAGTCTACTTTAAGCCACCTGTGTACTGTAACAGCTATGAAAGCTTGATGTGTGGATGCTCACAATATTTGCAAATTCATGCTGTACTTCTAAAATGTCTTTTTGTCACTTTGGAGCACTGCCTGCTGTCATATTTACACATGACTTAGCATGTGTAAATAGTAACTTCAAATCAAACTTCACGTGACTGGCTTCACTATTGCCTGTTTCAAACCTTTCTGTTTCAACCTTTTTCAAAAAATTTTATCAAATGATGTCAGTTACAAATCAGACTAAAAGTTGTAATGATGCAATTTTTAGACAGCAGTCTAAGAAAATGGTAAAGATCAGAGAATGTAGGATAAAAATGTTGTAATACAGGGAAATTGTCCTAGTCATTGTATTATTATGATATAAGAATTTAAGCAAAACTTCACCTGCATATCTGAAGAACAGGTTGGGTTTTTTGGAGGGAGTGGGGTGATATATGTATGATGTGTGTGATTGCTTGTTTTTCTTTTTTAACATAATGCTCCTGATATGAATGGGTAAATCTAGCTTTTGAAATCACTAACTCCAGACATTGGTGCATCTAAGGCCTTATTTAGCCAACAGGAGCTGCTGGATATTTGATGCTTTAGGAAGAAGAAGAATGTTCTTGCAGCTATGCCATGTGATACCTATTTCTGTATAATAAATAGGAGAACCAGTCTTACTGAACTTTGTGCATGCAACTTAAATAGATTAAGATCTCAAAGTCTTGTGTAAAAATGCAGTAGAATGTCGTCTAATACATTTCTTCCTTTACAGGAATGATAGAAACTGCTCAAGTGGATGAAAGAGCAAGAGGCAATGGTTCCAGTCAGTCAGGAATAGCAAGGCGAGGGGTACAGATCATTGATGATGAGCCACAAGTACAGAGCAGCGGAGGGTGCTGTTCTTCTGGATAATTATAAAACTGTGCATCCCTGCCCTCTCAGTATGAAGACTGCCATATTCCAAGTCACGCATTCTTTACCAATGGAGTAATAGAATTAACAGTATTTAAAAATAATCACATGTAACACTGCAGAGACCTTAAGTGCTAAACTAGTGGCATCTGTGACCAGAGAATTGGCATTTTCTACAGTGGTTAACAAAGCAATTACCAATGGCCTTTTTACATATTTTTCTTTAATGAGGAATAATATGCATGTAGAAAAGACCTACTTAAAGGCTTCATTTATATTCTTTTAAATCAGATCATTATTTAATAACTTATATACGTTGTTGTTGGAATGGTATACGTTTTTGCAGCTCTTTGTATTTTGTGGTAGATTGAAATGTATCACTTCTAAAACGCAAATTGATTTTTTTTTTAAATTAGCAGATATCTGAAGTAATATTTTTGCAGGGCCTCCACAAGCCTATAACTGTCAACTACTTTGATATATTGTTCATCCTGTATGCCAAGCTGGTAAAATACATTGTAAATTACATTAAATATTTTATCTGCTTTTACAATTGCAGGTGAAGAAATATGTACATCAGTCTTGTCAGTGGTTGTGAAGTGAAAAAGTCAGTGAAAGATGCAAGCTTTTCATGTATACTGTTGAATTGTTCATTCTGTTCCCCTTACCTGAAAACAGCTTTTTTTGGTACATTCATAGCTAAAGCATTTTTTTAAAGTCTCTTTCTGGCAAGCAGCAGTACTTAGAGTATGCCCTTAGTGGGAAGAGAATGCTTCCTTAGACTGCTGGTTAACATTGAGTTGTTTGACTCCCAGCTAGAACAGTTGGTGCATGTATGTATCTTGCCTCTGCATTTACTTTGGCCTCTCAAAATACCCCCAGAAAGTCAAAGCAACTTTAGCCCTCATCGATCTGGTAATCAGTAAACCAGATGCATGGGAAACTCTTAAGCTGCATTAATACATTGTGTCCCAAGACAGCATTATAAACTATTAATGAGCTTTTTTCCCCCTGTATTGCGGGGCTTGAGTGAACAAACGAGTTGACATTAACTAGAACTCCTTCTGATTTGGAGTGATTAAATGGAAGATACAAAACTTGCCAGATGTAATTGTTACTTTGGGGATACTAGACAGAACTGAACTTACTCCTGACTTGCTCGTTGTCTTGTGAAGAGTTTTGAAGCCCACTTAAGTTTTGGGAGGAGGGTTTTCAGAGTGTATAAACTACTATCACAAAGGAACACAAATGGTGGTAGCTGAAACTTCAAAATGTTTTGTGCTCTGACTTTTTTTACCTAAGTTGTCATGCTTGGAAAAACAGTAAAGGTGATGTCTATGACAAAATAGAATATTCCTTGGCCTTCCTTTTTCTGAAGGGTAGAGTTAGTATTGCATATGAATGCATTGAATGGTGTGGATATGTTCCAGTGCACTAAAGGAATAGTAACTAATCAGTCTGACGTGCAAGAGAAGTGTGCTGTCTTCAATCTGATTTTTACTTTCTCTTAAATACTAGGTGGCTTTGATACAGACTGGTCCTGTTGCTTTTTTCCCTTTCTACCTAAACTAGATAGACACTTTCTCTTAAGCTACCATTGCTGTGCTCTTCTGACATGATTGTATGTATAATGGACAAAGGTGATCTGTTCATGAGTGAAGATAAAGTTTCTTGACTGCACAGAGCTTTGGTGTGAATCTAAAATTCATTATTGTGTGTGTGTATATGTAGCAACACCAGTAAGTTAACACTCCTATATTATATTTAACAGTGAGCTTTGCCAAAGTTGAGAAACTCAGGCCAGTTTGATCTAAAACCAGTACATTCAAATCCATACAGATAGATCAAAGTCAGTATTGAAAGTTATACAGTATTGATATGAAGAGTGAAATTGGCCGGACTCTATGTTCAAGACTGGAATCTTCTCATAATAGGGGTTCTAGATTTTTTTACTCAAATTTTGTTTTTTGAAGCGAGAGAAAAAACCAACCAACCAAAGAACGAAAACCCAACCTCAACTAGACCTTATGAGCAGATGAGTCATGAGGGCTTACCTACACCAGAGCATATGTATTCTCTCCAGAGCAGAGCTTTCTCCCCTTTGTTGAAGGGTGCAGATGCAGTTCTAGTCTGGAAATTAATATGAGGTGCTTACCCAAGAGAACGTTAGGTTTGACTTCTCTGAAACAGAAGCAATGTGTAGAGTAGATCTTTATGCCTGCAGCTAAAGAGTTTTTATTCGGTGTATTCTGTGGTAGTGGCATTCTGTGTGACTTCTGTCAATTACAAAACTAACAAAGCCATGTTGATCCTAACCCTTAAGTGACTTACAGAGCTAAACTATTACTACTGAGAACTTGGGGCTGGGAATAAGAAAGCTTACAATTTCATATGATTAAAAAGGTTCTGGTTGCTAGCAAAATACTTTAAAAATCAATTCTCAGAAGTTACTTTTCTTAAGCTCCAGCATGAAAAATACTTCGTGGAAATCTTTGTCTTAGCTTCAGTTTGACTGGACTTTTATTTCTGGAACTTAAAACCTGTGCTTAGCAGGGTATTGTTATATTACCTTACAAAAAAGGTATAGCTTCATGAAGTCAAGGAAGTTGGTTTCCAAGACAAGTAAAAACAGTATGGATTATTTAGACTGATTTAACATAAGATTTCAGCTATTCATTGTTAGCAAACAAAATACAACAGATCCAGGAAAAAGTATCTTTATTGAAGTTACCTAGAGTGTTGTTTGCATTAAATATATGGGAAAACACAGATAGCTTTTATTATTATTATTTTTATTATCATTATTATTTATTATTATTTGAGCAGGATCTCACTTGAGTAACCTGGTATTACTACTGTGTGGCTTGGTTTTCCACAGTCTTGCATTTGCTGAAATCTTATCTAGATTGCCTGGTTTGTATGTCTTAAGGAAAACTCTTTTCTTGTTAACTTCTGTTGCTGAAAACAGTAAACTGATTTCATTCCTCTGAGAAGAGTACAAAAGAACAACTACATCTGTCTTTAGAAATTACCTCTCTTCGGGGATACATGGAACCAGCCAGACATCTGCTACAGCACGTAAGTCAACATTGAGCACACTTCCTTTGAGTAAATCTTGACAAAGTTTAGTAAGTTAGACCTCTTTTTATTATAGTACATGAGTACAAATAGCTTTCTAAATCAACTTTAAGTACTTGCTTACAGTCTTGGTGCTGCTGCTATGAATACTTCAGCTACCTATGAAATTTTATCGCCTACTGAAATAAAAACCTAAAAAGCCGAAGTCCAAGAACATTAGTGCAGCAGTGTATATCTCTATTGGGAGTTATTTATGGACACTGTCTTATTGCACTTAGAGTTTAGAAGTTATACAAGACCAGATAATGATTCACACAAGGAAACTGATCAATTCAGATGTATAGCACTTGGATATGAGTGTAACTAGCTGTGAAGGTTGTGGATGATGACTTTGGTTTGCAGTGATTTCACATATGGTTCCAGGATGGGCAACACCCAATGTCTGGATGGAGTGCATTGGCTGGTCTCTTGAGTCTTGCCTTGATAACATGCTTTACTTCAGTGTTCACACACTGTAGACAGACATACAAAAAAAAGTGTCACCCAGCCCTTTTTATTCTGCCACTTTTATTGTTCTCTGTGTTTAAGTTGTATCTCTGCCTGCAGCTCTTGAAGAAACCTAGTAATTCAACTTCTACTTTAGATTCCAAGCAAGCCAGATGAAGGAAGCTTTGCAGACAGGTATGAGGTCATGGAAGGTGGCTGGAGCTCAAATGGAGTCCTTTGAAAATGTTCTATGCTGTCAGAAAAAAACACTTTAAAGAAAGTGAGAGGAATGGGAGTCCTGCTTGAGGACAAATAGAGGTCAGAAATTTCCACAGTGAGAGCAGTTAAGTGGTATGTATGATAGAGTATGGGAATAAGAGTTGGAGCCAGCCATCTCTGATTTTACTGCTTTTTGTGCAAGGAAAAGGAGAAAGAAAAAAGAAAGGCAAGTAGGAAAAACTGAAGGTGCTGGTAAAACTGAAGGCGCTGGTAGCGGGCTGAGTGAGGTGCTGTGTTAACAATTTCTTAGTGGAATTGCTAGCATGTCTTTCAGCAATGGTAGTGCCCTAACTCAAGACTTCTCTCAGATGACTTCTAGGTTGTTTTTCCTTCTGTGAAATACTATTTTTGCCTAACTTGAGAGAATACAACTAACTTTGAAGAGGCTTTCAGACACAGTACTAACCTACTTAAAACTTGATTAGAGTATACTAATACTGACTGTCTTACTGGATTTTTCTTATCAGACAAGATCATTCACTTTATCTTGATTACATGCTTTTCTTCAATGTTCACACGTTGTAGAGCTTATCAGTCTCAATCCAATAGAATACTTTTATTTGAAGCCAGAGAAGATGTTAGCAGGGCAAACACCAGCACTGAAAAGGACACAGCATTTGTAGTATTGAGTACCTTGATGTTGTCAAATGTAGGAATATTTGGCATTTGTACATAAAAGTAACTTTGAAAAAAAAATAAAAAATGTAGCAGAGGCTTTACCAACCTTAACTTTCTCAGTGCATTGCTGCAGCTGGAGTTCTTAAATACATCTTAGTATTTTATATACCAGTGTATTTACATTGAAGATAGTTCTGCGATAAAATAATTCTAAATTATCAGTCAACTATGGAAACAACTTCTTTAGCTTGACTCATCTTCTGTCAATACCCATTATTAAAAGCAAAAATGCATTTAAGTGGAAATAGATCAATAGAAAGGGGTAAAAAATGTGTAATGGTAGTCAGTCAGGAAAACAGAGCTGCAAGTTCTTGTTACTGTCATATCTGAAAATTGCTATCTCTTACATTTTATGAAGTCACAGAATTTGAAACTTGATAAACAGTCTGTAATAAAGTGGCCCTGAAAATTACTGAAGTTTAGGGGTAGTGGCCTGGCTTACAAAGAAATCTGGGGAAAACTGAGACCATAGGTTTTCTGTGTTACAAATAAATTTCTGAGCCCACTGGAGTATGATGTGATGAAAGAAGGCTTTATGATGCCAAATCGGGCTCAGTGAGCTTGCTCTACATTTTGCTAGTGTATACCCCAGAGACTGCCGTGTGAGCAGGGACCTATCAAAATGCAGCTTTGATTTGCAAAACTGGCCTTTGACAGTCCAGAACAGTTCATGGGGAAGAAGCAGTTGCTGTTGAACCACATTTGCCAGTTTAATAATAACCCCAGGCACATTGCCTGTGTGCTGAGGGAGCAGCAAAAACAAGCCGAATGTGGAACCATAGCTAAAGACTGGGAATTTTCCACCAGTTGTGTTTGTATCCTGCTGATTTCCTACTTCCACAATGAAGGTTTGTGTGCACTTCCCTAGTGAAAATTGCTGTTCCGCTGTGGTTTTGAACTAGATGGACATAGTGAGTGAAAACAGTAAGTAACAGGAAAACCAGGGCAAGGTAAGGGTAGTCAGCACAGTTCCTACTTTGGCTGTTCTTACCCCTTTCACTTGCACACTTTAAAAGTCAGCAGCGATATCCTACTACCTTTGTGTCAGAAAGTGTATTTTCTATTTGGAGAGATTTTTTTTTTTAGTCAAGATACTAATCTTAAAAGCTTTTTAGAGTAAATGTTGTTTCTTCACAGATTTAGTCTCTCCAAAGTCTGTCAGCATCTCATTAAAGGGATTATATTAAATGGTGAAGAGCAGATGTGCTGCCTGTAGT